CCCCATTTTTGGGTCAATCCCCCCATTTTGGGCTCAAATCCCCTCATTTTTGGGTCAATCCCCCTCTTTTTTGGGCTCAAAACCCCCATTTTTGGGTCAATCACCCCATTTTGGGTTCAAAACCCCCATTTTTGGGTCAATCCCCCCCATTTTGGGCTCAAAACCCCCATTTTTGGGTCAATCCCCCCCCATTTTGGGTTCAAAACCCCCATTTTTGGGTCAATCCCCCCCATTTTGGGCTCAAAACCCCCATTTTTGGGTCAATCCCCCCCCATTTTGGGTTCAAAACCCCCATTTTTGGGTCAATCCCCCCCATTTTGGGCTCAAAACCCCCATTTTGGGGTCAATCCCCCCATTTTGGGGTCAAAACACCCATTTTTGGGTCAAAACCCCCATTTTGGGGCTCAAAACCCCCATTTTTGGGTCAATCCCCCATTTTGGGCTCAAAACCCCCATTTTTGGGTCAATCCCCCCCCATTTTGGGGTCAAAACCCCCCATAGAAAACCAAAGCTTTTATTGCCCTTGGGAATGGGGTTAACTGGGATGGACTGGGATGAACTGGGATGGATTGGGATGGAACTGGGATGGATTGGGATGAACGGATGGACTGGGATGGACTGGGATGGACTGGGATGGACTGGGATTGATTGGGAGGTAACTGGGAGGTAACTGTGAGGTAACTGGGAGTAAACTGGGATGGACTGGGATGGAACTGGGATGGATTGGGATGGATTGGGATGGACTGGGATGGAACTGGGATGGACTGGGATGAACTGGGATGAACTGGGATGGACTGGGATGGACTGGGATGGACTGGGATGGATTGGGATTGAACTGGGATGGACTGGGATGGACTGGGATGAACTGGGATGGACTGGGATGGACTGGGATGAACTGGGATGGACTGGGATGGAATGGGAGGTAATTGAGACTAACTGGGATGAACTGGGATGAACTGGAATGGACTGGAATGAACTGGGACTGCACTGAATTGGTCTGTACTGGGATGTGCTGGGATAAACTGGGAATGAACTGGGAATGAACTGGGATGAACTGGGACTAAACTGGTCTGAACTGGGATGCGCTGGGATGAACTGGGACTAAACTGGGTCTGAACTGGGATGCACTGGGAATGAACTGGGACTAAACTGGGATGAACTGGGATGTAACTGGGATGCGCTGGGATGAACTGGGATGTAAGTGGGACTAAACTGGGATGTGCTGGGATGAACTGGGATGAACTGGGATGTAAGTGGGACTAAACTGGGATGTGCTGGGATGAACTGGGATGAACTGGGATGTAAGTGGGACCAAACTGGGATGAACTGGTCTGAACTGGGATGCGCTGGGAATGAACTGGGAATGAACTGGGACTGAACTGGGAATGAACTGGGAATGAACTGGGATGAACTGGTCTGTACTGGTCTGAACTGGGAATGAACTGGGACTAAACTGGGATGAACTGGTCTGTACTGGGATGAACTGGGACTAAACTGGGATGAACTGGGATGAACTGGGATGAACTGGGACTAAACTGGTGTGAACTGGTCTGTACTGGGATGAACTGGGACTAAACTGGGATGAACTGGTACTGAACTGGTCTGAACTGGTCTGTGCTGGTCTGTACTGGTCTGAGCTCAGTCCCGGTGCAGCCGCAGCCGGAACGCCACCCTGCCGGCGAACTTGTCCCTCCCGTCGCCTCCGCTGTCGCGATAGTCCCCTCCGCTGTCGCGATAGTCGCCTCCGCTATCGCGATAGTCGCCGCTGTGGCGATCCCCGCCGCCGTTATCGCGATATTCCCCGCCGCTATCGCGATATTCCCCTCCGCTATCGCGATATTCGCCGCCGCTATCGCGATAGTCGCCGCCGTTATCGCGATAGTCGCCGCCGCTGTCGCGATAGTCGCCGCGCCGCCCCTCCAGCAGCCGGCACTCCACGTGGTGCTGCACCCCCGGCGTGGCGTTGGCGAACAGCACGGCCACCACCGGCTGGGAGTAGTTCACCTGCGGTGGGGCAGAGAGAGCCTATGGGGCGCTATGGGGCTCTATGGGGCGCTATGGGGCGCTATGGGGCTCTATGGGGCGCTATGGGGCTCTATGGAGTCCCTATGGGGCGCTATGGGGTTTTCTATGGGGCTCTATGGGGTCCCTATAGGGCTCTATGGGGTGCCTATGGGGTTCTATGGGGCTCTATGGCGTCCCTATGGGGCTCTGTGGGTCTCTATGGGGTCCCTATGGGGCTCTATGGGGTCCCTATGGGGTGCTATGGGGTTCTATGGGTCTCTATGGGGTCCCTATGGGGCGCTATGGAGTCCCTATGGGGTGCTATGGGGTTTTCTATGGGTCTCTATGGGGTCCCTATGGGGCTCTATGGGGTCCCTATGGGGCGCTATGGGGTTTTCTATGGGTCTCTATGGGGTCCCTATGGGGCGCTATGGGGTTTTCTATTGGGGCTCTGTGGGGTCCCTATGGGGCTCTATGGGGTCCCTATGGGGCGCTATGGGGTTTTCTATGGGTCTCTATGGGGTCCCTATGGGGCGCTATGGGGTTTTCTATGGGGCTCTATGGGGTCCCTATGGGGCTCTATGGAGTCCGTATGGGGCGCTATGGGGTTTTCTATGGGGTCCCTATGGGGTTTTCTATGGGTCTCTATGGGGTCCCTATGGGGCTCTATGGGGTCCCTATGGGTCTCTATGGGGTCCCTATGGGGCGCTATGGGGTCCCTATGGGGCGCTATGGGGTTTTCTATGGGCCTCTATGGGGTCCCTATGGGGCTCTATGGGGTGCTATGGGGCTCTATGGGGCTCTATGGGGTCCCTATGGGGCGCTATGGGGTTTTCTATGGGTCTCTATGGGGTCCCTATGAGGCGCTATGGGGGCTCTATGGGGGTCTATGGGTCTCTATGGGGTCCCTATGGGGCTCTATGGGGTCCCTATGGGGCGCTATGGGGTCCCTATGGGGCGCTATGGGGTTTTCTATGGGTCTCTATGGGGTCCCTATGGGGCGCTATGGGGTTTTCTATGGGTCTCTATGGGGTCCCTATGAGGCGCTATGGGGGCTCTATGGGGGTCTATGGGTCTCTATGGGGTCCCTATGGGGCTCTATGGGGTCCCTATGGGGCGCTATGGGGTTTTCTATGGGGGCTCTGTGGTGGGCTCTGTGGGGCTCTATGGGGGGCTCTATGGGGTCCCTATGAGGTTTTCTTGGGGGCTCTGGGGGGCTCTATGGGGGTCTATGGGGTCCCTGTGGGGTTCTATGGGGCTCTATGGGGCTCTGTGGGGCTCTGTGGGGTTTCTATGGGGCTCTATGGGGCTCTGTGGGGTTTCTATGGGGCTCTATGGGGCTCTGTGGGGCTCTGTGGGGTTTCTATGGGGCTCTATGGGGCTCTGTGGGGTTTCTATGGGGCTCTATGGGGCTCTGTGGGGTTTCTATGGGGCTCTATGGGGCTCTGTGGGGTTTCTATGGGGCTCTGTGGGGTTTCTATGGGGCTCTGTGGGGCTCTGTGGGGTTTCTATGGGGCTCTATGGGGCTCTGTGGGGCTCTGTGGGGTTTCTATGGGGCTCTATGGGGTTTCTATGGGGCTCTGTGGGGTTTCTATGGGGCTCTATGGGGCTCTGCGGGGCTCTGTGGTGTTTCTATGGGGCTCTATGGGGTTTCTATGGGGCTCTGTGGTGTTTCTATGGGGCTCTATGGGGTTTCTATAGGGCTCTGTGGGGTTTCTATGGGGCTCTGTGGGGTTTCTATGGGGCTCTGTGGGGTTTCTATGGGGCTCTGTGGGGTTTCTATGGGGCTCTATGCTCTATGTGTATGGGGCCAATAGGGACCCTATGGGGCCAATATCCCCTTATCCATAGGGAGAACCAGGACCAGCCCATGCCCCCCCTTGCTCTATGGGGCACCCAGACCCCCACCCCAGCACCCATGGGTGCCCCATAGGACCCCTGTCCCCCAGCACCCATGGGTGCCCCATAGGACCCCTGTCCCCCAGCACCCATGGGTGCCCCATAGCACCCATAAACACCCACAGGACCTCAGAGCATCCATATGCACCCCATAGCACCCCCAAACACCCAGAGCACCCATGGGTGCCCCATAGCACTCACGTGCACCCTCTTGCCGTAGTAGGGGAAGTACATGAGGTCCACGGAGCCATTGGGGGGGAAGAGGTGGAGGGGGCCCAGGAGGGCGGCGTCTTCCTCGTCCTATGGGGCAGGAGGCGAGGGGTGAGCGCCCTGCCCCATAGCGACCCATAGAGACCCAGAGAGACCCATAGAGACCCCATAGAGACCCATAGAGACCCATAGAGACCCCATAGCGACCCATAGAGACCCAGAGAGACCCCAGAGAGACCCATAGCGACCCCATAGAGACCCATAGAGACCCATAGCGACCCATAGAGACCCCATAGAGATCCATAGCGACCCATAGCGACCCATACCGACCCCATAGAGACCCATAGCGACCCATAGAGACCCCATAGAGACCCATAGCGACCCATACCGACCCATACCGACCCCATAGAGACCCATAGCGACCCCAGAGAGACCCATAGCAACCCCAGAGAGACCCATAGAGACCCATAGCGACCCCATAGAGAACCATAGCGACCCCATAGAGACCCCTCTCTGCCCCATAGACCCCCCTTAATACTCCCCACTGACCCATAGACACCCCAATCACCCTCTTCTGCCCCATAGACCCCCCCAAATACCCTCCATAGCCCCCTATATACCCACTATAGCCTCCTATACATACCCCTATAGCCCCCCATAGCCCCCTATAGCCCCCTATAACCCCCCCATACCCCCATATCCCCCATACCCCCCGATATCCCCCCTATATCCCCCTGATATCCCCCCATAGCCCCCTATACCCCCCATACCACCCCATATCCTGCCCCATATCCCCCCCAAACCCACTCATATCCCCCCCATACCTCCCCATATCCTGCCCCATACCCCCCCATATCCCTCCCATACCCCCCCATATCCCCCCCATACCCCCCCGTATCCTGCCCCATATCCCCCCCATACCCACCCATACCCCCCCATATCCTGCCCCATATCCCCCCATATCCCCCCCATACCTCCCCATATCCTGCCCCATACCCCCCATATCCTGCCCCATATCCCCCCCCATATCCCCCCATACCCCCCATATCCTGCCCCATATCCCCCCATATCCCCCCCATACTCCCACATATCCCCCCATATCCTGCCCCATATCCCCCCATATCCCCCCCATACTCCCACATATCCCCCCATATCCTGCCCCATATCCCCCCATATCCCCCCCATATCCCCCCATAACCCCCACATCCTGCCCCATATCCCCCCATATCCCCCCCATACCCCCCATATCCCCCATATCCCCCCCATACCCCCCCATACCCCACCCCATATCCTGCCCCACATCCCCCCCCCCCATCCCAGTCCCTTACACTGGTGTCCGACTGCCCCTGCGGCCGGGGAGAGAGAACGGGGTATTATGGGATGGAGGGGGGGTATTATGGGATGGAGGGGGGGGTACCGTGGGGTATTATGGGATGGAGGGGGGGGTACCGTGGGGTATTATGGGATGGAGGGGGGGTATTATGGGATAGAAGGGGGTATTATGGGATGGAGGGGGGTATTATGGGATGGAGGGGGGGTATTATGGGATGGAGGGGGGTATTATGGGATGGAGGGGGGTATTATGGGATGGAGGGGGGGTATTATGGGATATGGGGGGGTATTATGGGATGGAGGGGGGTATTATGGGATGGAGGGGGGGGTATTATGGGATGGAGGGGGTATTATGGGATGGAGGGGGGGTATTATGGGATGGAGGGGGGGGTACCATGGGGGATTATGGGATGGAGGGGGGGTACCGTGGGGTATTATGGGATGGGATGGAGGGGGGGGTACCGTGGGGTATTATGGGATGGAGGGGGGGTACCATGGGGTATTATGGGATGGATGGGGGGTATTATGGGATGGATGGGGGGTATTATGGGATGGGGGGGGGTATTATGGGATGGAGGGGGGGTACCGTGGGGTATTATGGGATGGAGGGGGGGGTTACCATGGGGTATTATGGGATGGAGGGGGGGTACCGTGGGGTATTATGGGATATCATGGGATATTATGGGATGTCATGGGATATTATGGGATGCCATGGGGTATTATGGGATACTATGGGATAGGATGGGATACTATGGAATATTATGGGATACTACGTAATACAATGGGATATTATGGGATATCATGGGGTATTATGGGATGTCACGGGATATGATGGGGGTATTATGGGATATTAGGGGATGTCATGGGATACGATGAGATATTATGGGATGTCATGGGATACCATGAGGTATTATGGGATATCATGGGATATTATGGGATATGATGGGATATCATGGGATATCATTTATATTATGGGATATTATGGGATATGGGACATTATGGAAGATGCTGGGCACCCAGCAGCATTTTGGGGTGAAAATAACCTATTTCGGGGCACCTAAGTGGGATTCTGGGGTGAAAACAGCACATTTTGGGACTTCTAGAAGTATTTTGGGGTGAGAAGAGCAGATTTGGGGGCATCTAGAAGGCTTTGGGGGTGAAATTGCACCATTTGGGGAAATCAGAAGGGTTTTGGGGTGAAAATAGCACATTTTGGATCATTCAAAAGCATTTTTTGGGTTGAGAATAGCACTTTTAGGGGCATTCAGCAGCATTTTGGGGTGAAAAGAGTACATTTTGGGGCATTCAGCAGCATTTTGAGGTGAAAATAACCTATTTTGGGGTATCTAGAAGCATTTTGGGGTGGAAATAGCACATTTGGGGTCATTTAGAAGCATTTTGGGGTGAAAACAGCACGTTTTGGGGCATTCAGCAGCATTTTGGGGTGAAAAGAACCTATTTTGGGGCATCTAGAAGCATTCTGTGGTGAAAACAGCAAATTTTAGGGCATCTGACAGGATTTTGGGGTGAAAATAGCGCATTTTGGGGCATTCAGCAGCCTTTTGGGGTGAAAATAGCACATTTTGGGTCGTTAAGCAGCGTTTTGGGGTGAAAATAGCACATTTTGGGGCATTCAGCAGCCTTTTGGGGTGAAAATAGCACATTCTGGGTCGTTAAGCAGCATTTTGGGGTGAAAATAGCACATTTTGGGGCATTCAGCAGCGTTTTGGGGTGAAAATAGCACATTTTGGGGCATTCAGCAGCCTTTTGAGGTGAAAATAGCACATTTTGGGTCGTTAAGCAGCATTTTGGGGTGAAAATAGCACATTTTGGGGCATTCAGCAGCATTTTGGGGTGAAAATAGCACATTTTGGGTCGTTAAGCAGCATTTTGGGGTGAAAATAGCACATTTTGGGGCATTCAGCCTTTTGGGGTGAAAATAGCACATTTTGGGGCATCTAGAAGCATTTTGGGGTGAAAATAGCACATTTTGGGGCATTCAGCAGCATTTTGGGGTGAAAATAGCACATTTTGGGTCGTTAAGCAGCATTTTGGGGTGAAAATAGCACATTTTGGGGCATCTAGAAGCATTTTGGGGTGAAAACAGCAAATTTTAGGGCATCTAACAGGATTTTGGGGTGAAAATAGCACATTTTGGGGCTTTCAGCATCATTTTGGGGTGAAAATAGCAAATTTTGGTGCATTCAGCAGCATTTTGGGGTGAAAATAGCACATTTTGGGTCGTTAAGCAGCCTTTTGGGGTGAAAATAGCACATTTTGGGGCATTCAGCTGCGTTTTGGGGTGAAAATAGCACATTTTGGGGCATTCAGCAGCCTTTTGGGGTGAAAATAGCACATTTTGGGTCGTTAAGCAGCATTTTGGGGTGAAAATAGCACATTTTGGGGCATTCAGCAGCATTTTGGGGTGAAAATAGCACATTTTGGGTCGTTAAGCAGTGTTTTGGGGTGAAAATAGCACATTTTGGGGCATTCAGCAGCCTTTTGGGGTGAAAATAGCACATTTTGGGGCATCTAGAAGCATTTTGGGGTGAAAATAGCACATTTTGGGGCATTCAGCAGCATTTTGGGGTGAAAATAGCACATTTTGGGTCGTTAAGCAGCATTTTGGGGTGAAAATAACCTATTTTGGGGTATCTAGAAGGATTTTGGGGTGGAAATAGCACATTTGGGGTCCTTTAGAAGCATTTTGGGGTGAAAATAGCACATTTTGGGGCATTCAGCAGCATTTTGGGGTGAAAATAACCTATTTTGGGGTATCTAGAATGATTTTGGGGTGGACAGAGCACATTTTTGGTCATTTAGAAGCATTTTGGGGTGAAAACAGCACGTTTTGGGGCATTCAGCAGCATTTTGGGGTGAAAAGAACCTATTTTGGGTCATCTAGAAGCATTTTGGGGTGAAAACAGCAAATTTTAGGGCATCTAACAGGATTTTGGGGTGAAAATAGCGCATATTGGGGCATTCAGCAGCATTTTGGGGTGAAAATAACCTATTTTGGGGTATCTAGAAGCATTTTGGGGTGAAAAGAGCACATTTTGGGGCATTCAGCAGCCTTTTGGGGTGAAAACAGCAAATTTTGGGGTATCTAGAAGCATTTTGGGGTGAAAATAGCACATTTTGGGGCATTCAGCAGCCTTTTGGGGTGAAAATAGCACATTTTGGGTCGTTAAGCAGCCTTTTGGGGTGAAAATAGCACATTTTGGTTCGTTAAGCAGCCTTTTGGGGTGAAAATAGCACATTTTGGGGCATTCAGCAGCCTTTTGGGGTGAAAATAGCACATTTTGGGTCGTTAAGCAGCATTTTGGGGTGAAAATAGCACATTTGGGGGCATTCAGCAGCCTTTTGGGGTGAAAATAGCACATTTGGGGTCATCTAGAAGGCTGTCGGCACGAAAATAGCGCTTTTTGGCTCATCTAGAAGCAATTTTGGGGTGAATTGAGGCTATTTTGGGGGTCAACCCCCCCTTACCAGGTCACCCTTTGATCGGGGCCGCTGGGGAGAGACGAGAGGCAGTGAGGGGGGGCACTGGGTTGTACTGGGGGGTAATGGGGAGACTGGGAGGACACTGGGGTGATACTGGGGGGATAATGGGGATACTGGGGTGATAATGGGGTGATATTGGGGTGATAATGGGGATACTGGGGGGATAATGGGGTAATGATGGGGATACTGGGGTGATACTGGGATGATGCTGGTGTGATAATGGGGACACTGGGGGGATACTGGGGTGATAAAGGGGATACTGGGGGGATACTGGGATGATGCTGGTGTGATAATGGGGATACTGGGGTGATACTGGGGTGATAATGGGGATACTGGGGTGATAATGGGGATACTGGGGGGATACTGGGATGATGCTCGTGTGATAATGGGGATACTGGGGTGATAATGGGGATACTGGGGGGATACTGGGATGATGCTCTTGTGATAATGGGGATACTGGGGGGATACTGGGGTGATGCTCGTGTGATAATGGGGATACTGGGGCGATACTGGGATGATGATGGTGTGATAATGGGGATACTGGAGGGATAATGGGGTAATGATGGGGACACTGGGGTGATACTGGGGTGACAATGGGGATACTGGGGTGATACTGGGGTGATATTGGGGTGATAATGGGGATACTGGGGGGATACTGGTGTGATATTGGGGATACTGGGGTGATAATGGGGATACTGGGGTGATAATGGGGTGATATTGGGGTGATAATGGGGATACTGGGGTGATAATGGGGTGATATTGGGGTGATAATGGGGATACTGGGGGGATACTGGGGTGATATTGGGGATACTGGGGTGATAATGGGGATACTGGGGTGATATTGGGGTGATAATGGGGATACTGGGGTGATAATGGGGTGATATTGGGGTGATAATGGGGATACTGGGGTGATAATGGGGATACTGGGGTGATACTGGGATGATGCTGGTGTGATAATGGGGATACTGGGGTGATACTGGGGTGATAATGGGGTGATAATGAGGACACTGGGGTGATATAGGGGTGATAATGGGGATACTGGGGGGATACTGGGATGATGCTGGTGTGATAATGGGGATACTGGGGTGATACTGGGGTGATAATGGGGACACTGGGGTGATAATGGGGATACTGGGGTGATAATGGGGTAATGATGGGGATACTGGGGTGATAATGGGGGGATACTGGGACGATACTGGTGTGATACTGGTGTGATAATGGGGATACTGGGGTGATAATGGGGATACTGGGGTGATACTGGGGATACTGGTGGGATACTGATGTGATACTGGGGTGATAATGGGGTGATAATGGGGTGATGATGGGATAATTATGGGGATACTGGGGTGATAATGGGGGGATACTGGGACGATACTGGTGTGACACTGGTGTGATAATGGGGATACTGGGGTGATATTAGAGTGATACTGGGGTGATAATGGGGACACTGGGGTGATATAGGGGTGATAATGGGGATACTGGGGGGATACTGGGATGATGCTGGTGTGATAATGGGGATACTGGGGTGATACTGGGGTGATAATGGGGATACTGGGGTGATAATGGGGATACTGGGGTGATACTGGGGTGATAATGGGGACACTGGGGTGATACTGGGGTGATAATGGGGATACTGGGGTGATAATGGAGTAATGATGGGGATACTGGGGTGATAATGGGGGGATACTGGGACGATACTGGTGTGATACTGGTGTGATAATGGGGATACTGGGGTGATAATGGGGATACTGGGGTGATACTGGGGTGATAATGGGGATACTGGGGTGATACTGGGGTGATAATGGGATGATGCTGGTGTGATAATGGGGATACTGGGGTGATAATGGGGACACTGGGGTGATACTGGGGTGACAATGGGGATACTGGGGTGATAATGGGGTGATATAGGGGTGATAATGGGGATACTGGGGGGATACTGGGATGATAAAGGGGTGATAATGGGGATACTGGGGTGATACTGGGATGATGCTGGTGTGATAATGGGGATACTGGGGTGATACTGGGGTGATAATGGGGATACTGGGGTGATACTGGGATGATAAAGGGGATATTGGGGTGATAATGGGATGATGCTGGTGTGATAATGGGGATACTGGGGTGATACTGGGATGATGCTGGTGTGATAATGGGGATACTGGGGTGATACTGGGGTGATACTGGGGATACTGGGGTGATGATGGGATAATGACGGGGATACTGGGGTGATGGTGACACTGGGATGATAGGGGGGTGATACAGGTGTGAGAATGGGGATACTGGTGTGATACTGGGGATACTGGGATGATACTGGTGTGATAATGGGGATATTGGTGTGATACTGGGGATACTGGGGGGATACTGGGGATACTGGGGGGATACTGGTGTGATACTGGGGGGATACTGGTGTGATACTGGGGATACTGGGATGATACTGGTGTGATAATGGGGATATTGGTGTGATACTGGGGATACTGGGGGGATACTGGTGTGATACTGGGGGGATACTGGTGTGATACTGGCGTCACCTTTGCTGCGCAGACCACGTTGATGCTCTTGTTCCTCCCAGGGAAGAAGTTGATGATCTATGGGATGAGAAGGGTTAAGGCACCACTATGGACCAGTATGGACCAGTATGGACCAGTATGGACCAGTGCACTGCAGTAAGTAACGCATCCGAGGCCATCCCAGTGCATCCCAGTGCTCCCAGTCCAATGCATTCCAGCCCCGCGCTGGGTCCTAGTGCCTGCCTGTCCCATCCCCAGTTCCCACCCCATTGCCTCCCATTGCCCCCCATCCCCATCCCATTGCCCCCCATCACCACCGCAGTGCTCCCAGTCCCTCCCAGTGCATCCCAGTGCCTCCCAGTCCAATGCACCCCATTGCCAAGCCCCCCAAGCCATTGCAATGGGCTTCATCCCAGCACCGCGCTGGGTCCTAGTGCCCGCCTGTCCCATCCCCAGTCCCCATCCCATTGCCCCCCATCCCCATCCCATTGCCTCCCATTGCTCCCAGTCTCCATCCCATTGCCCCCCATCCCCATCCCAGTGCTCCCAGTGCCTCCCAGTCCCTCCCAGTGCATCCCAGTGCCTCCCAGTCCAATGCACCCCATTGCCAAGCCCCCCAACCCACTGCAATGGGCTTCATCCCAGCACCACGCTGGGTCCTAGTGCCCGCCTGTCCCATCCCCAGTCCCCATCCCATTGCCCCCATCCTCATCCCATCGCCCCCCATCACCCTCCCAGTGCTCCCAGTCCCTCCCAGTGCATCCCAGTGCCTCCCAGTCCAATGCACCCCATTGCCAAGCCCCCCAAGCCATAGCAATGGGCTTCATCCCAGCACCGCGCTGGGTCCTAGTGCCCGCCTGTCCCATCCCCAGTCCCCATCCCATTGCCCCCCATCCCCATCCCATTACCTCCCATTGCTCCCAGTCTCCATCCCATTGCCCCCCATCACCCTCCCAGTGCTCCCAGTCCCTCCCAGTGCATCCCAGTGCCTCCCAGTCCAATGCACCCCATTGCCAAGCCCCCCAGGCCATTGCAATGGGCTTCATCCCAGCACCGCGCTGGGTCCTAGTGCCCGCCTGTCCCATCTCCAGTCCCCATCCCATTGCCCCCCATCCCCATCCCATCGCCCCCCACCACCACCCCAGTGCTCCCAGTCCCTCCCAGTGCATCCCAGTGCCTCCCAGTCCAATGCACCCCATTGCCAAGCCCCCCAAGCCATTGCAATGGGCTTCATCCCAGCACCACGCTGGGTCCTAGTGCCCGCCTGTCCCATCCCCAGTCCCCATCCCATTGCCCCCCATCGCACCCAATCCCCACCCCATTGCCCCCCATCCCCACCCCAGTCCCTCCCACTCTCACCCTATTGATCTTGACGAGCACGCAGGGCTGGCCGGTGCCGTAGCCGTAGGTCTCGCTATGGGGCGGCCCCAGCCCCGCGCAGGGTCCTAGAGCGCTCCGGTTAAAGCGGCAGGCCCGCTTGGGCACGTTGGGGACCCCGTCGTCGGGTTGCTCGTTGTAACGGCCCGGGGTGCAGGCGGCGTTGCGGGCGGCCTGGACGCTGTCGTTGTAGGCTGAAGGGGGAGGCAAAGGACCCGCAGCAACCCCATAGGGCACCCATGGGATCCGGAGGGCACCCTGAGGGGCCGTAGGGCACCCGTAGAGCGCCCTGAACGGCCATAGAGCATCCATAGCAACCATAGAGCATCCATAGCAACCACAGAGCATCCATAGCAACCACAGAGCATCCATAGCAACCATAGAGCATCCATAGCAACCATAGAGCATCCATAGCAACCACAGAGCATCCATAGCAACCATAGAGCATCCATAGCAACCACAGAGCATCCATAGCAACCATAGAGCATCCATAAAGCATCCAGAGCAACCACAGTGTCCATAGCAACCATAGAGCATCCATAGTAACCATAGAGCATCCATAGCAACCACAGAGCATCCATAGCAACCATAGAGCATCCATAGCAACCACAGAGCATCCATAGCAACCACAGAGCATCCATAGCAACCATAGAGCATCCATAGCAACCACAGAGCATCCATAGCAACCACAGAGCATCCATAGCAACCATAGAGCATCCATAGCAACCACAGAGCATCCATAGCAACCATAGAGCATCCATAGCAACCATAGAGCATCCATAAAGCACCCAGAGCAACCACAGTGTCCATAGCAACCATAGCGTCCATAGTAACCATAGAGCATCCATAAAGCATCCAGAGCAACCACAGTGTCCATAGCAACCACAGAGCTTCCATAGTAACCACAGAGCATCCATAGCAACCATAGAGCATCCATAGCAACCACAGTGTCCATAGCAACCATAGCTTCCATAGCAACCATAGAGCATCCATAAAGAATCCATAGCAACCACAGTGTCCAAAGCAACCACAGAGCTTCCATAGTAACCATAGAGCATCCATAGCAACCATAGAGCATCCATAAAGCATCCATAGCAACCACAGTGTCCATAGCAACCATAGCTTCCATAGCAACCATAGAGCATCCATAAAGCACCCATAGCAACCACAGTGTCCATAGCAAACACAGAGCATCCATAGCAACCACAGTGTCCATAGCAACCACAGAACATCCATAGCAACCATAGAGCATCCATAAAGCACCCAGAGCAACCACAGTGTCCATAGCAACCATATCTTCCATAGTAACCATAGAGCATCCAAAAAGCATCCAGAGCAACCACAGTGTCCATAGCAACCATATCTTCCATAGTAACCATAGAGCATCCATAAAGCATCCAGAGCAACCACAGTGTCCATAGCAACCATAGCTTCCATAGTAACCATAGAGCATCCATAAAGCATCCAGAGCAGCCACAGTGTCCATAGCAACCACAGTGTCCATAGCAACCACAGAGCATCCATAAAGCATCCATAGCAACCACAGTGTCCATAGCAACCATATCTTCCATAGTAACCATAGAGCATCCATAAAGCATCCATAGCAACCATATCTTCCATAGTAACCATAGAGCATCCATAAAGCATCCATAGCAACCACAGTGTCCATAGCAACCACAGAGCATCCATAGCAACCACAGTGTCCATAGCAACCACAGAGCATCCATAGCAACCATAGAGCATCCATAAAGCACCCAGAGCAACCACAGTGTCCATAGCAACCATAGCTTCCATAGTAACCATAGAGCATCCATAAAGCATCAATAGCAACCACAGTGTCCATAGCAACCACAGAGCATCCATAGCAACCACAGTGTCCATAGCAACCACAGAGGATCCATAGCAACCATAGTGCATCCATAAAGCACCCAGAGCAACCACAGTGTCCATAGCAACCATATCTTCCATAGTAACCATAGAGCATCCAAAAAGCATCCAGAGCAACCACAGTGTCCATAGCAACCATAGCTTCCATAGTAACCATAGAGCATCCATAAAGCATCCAGAGCAACCACAGTGTCCATAGCAACCACAGAGCATCCATAGCAACCATAGACCATCCATAAAGCATCCAGAGCAACCACAATGTCCATAGCAACCACAGAGGATCCATAGCAACCATAGTGCATCCATAAAGCACCCAGAGCAACCACAGTGTCCATAGCAACCATATCTTCCATAGTAACCATAGAGCATCCAAAAAGCATCCAGAGCAACCACAGTGTCCATAGCAACCATAGCTTCCATAGTAACCATAGAGCATCCATAAAGCATCCATAGCAACCACAGTGTCCATAGCAACCATATCTTCCATAGTAACCATAGAGCATCCAAAAAGCATCCAGAGCAACCACAGTGTCCATAGCAACCATAGCTTCCATAGTAACCATAGAGCATCCATAAAGCATCCAGAGCAACCACAGTGTCCATAGCAACCACAGAGCATCCATAGCAACCATAGACCATCCATAAAGCATCCATAGCAACCACAATGTCCATAGCAACCATAGCTTCCAGAGTAACCATAGAGCATCCATAAAGCATCCAGAGCAACCACAGTGTCCATAGCAACCATAGCTTCCAGAGTAACCATAGAGCATCCATAAAGCATTCATAGCAACCACAATGTCCATAGCAACCATAGCTTCCATAGTAACCATAGAGCATCCATAAAGCATCCATAGCAACCACAGTGTCCATAGCAACCACAGAGCTTCCATAGCAACCATAGAGCATCCATAAATCACCCAGAGCAACCACAGTGTCCATAGCAACCATAGCTTCCATAGTAACCATAGAGCATCCATAAAGCATCCAGAGCAACCACAGTGTCCATAGCAACCACAGAGCTTCCATAGCAACCATAGAGCATCCATAAATCACCCAGAGCAACCACAGTGTCCATAGCAACCATAGCTTCCATAGTAACCATAGAGCATCCATAAAGCATCCAGAGCAACCACAGTGTCCATAGCAACCACAGAGCATCCATAGTAACCATAGAGCATCCATAGCAACCATAGAGCATCCATAGCAACCACAGTGTCCATAGCAACCATAGCTTCCATAGCAACCATAGAGCATCCATAAAGCATCCAGAGCAACCACAGTGTCCATAGCAACCACAGAGCATCCATAGCAACCATAGAGCATCCATAAAGAATCCATAGCAACCACAGTGTCCAAAGCAACCACAGAGCTTCCATAGTAACCATAGAGCATCCATAGCAACCATAGAGCATCCATAGCAACCACAGTGTCCATAGCAACCATAGCTTCCATAGTAACCATAGAGCATCCATAAAGCATCCAGAGCAACCACAGTGTCCATAGTAACCACAGAGCATCCATAGCAACCATAGAGCATCCATAGTAACTATAGAGCATCCATAAAGCATCCATAGCAACCACAGAGCATCCATAGTAACCATAGAGCATCCATAAAGCACCCAGAGCAACCACAGTGTCCATAGCAACCATAGCTTCCATAGCAACCATAGAGCATCCATAAAGCATCCAGAGCAGCCACAGTGTCCATAGCAACCATAGCTTCCATAGCAACCATAGAGCATCCATAAAGCATCCAGAGCAACCACAGTGTCCATAGCAACCATAGCGTCCATAGTAACCATAGAGCATCCATAAAGCACCCAGAGCAGCCACAGTGTCCATAGCAACCATAGCTTCCATAGCAACCATAGAGCATCCATAAAGCACCCATAGCAACCACAGTGTCCATAGCAAACACAGAGCATCCATAGCAACCACAGTGTCCATAGCAACCACAGAACATCCATAGCAACCATTGAGCATCCATAAAGCGTCCATAGCAACCATAGCATTCATAGCAACCCAGTCGTCCCAGTGCCTCTCAGGATGGCCTAGAGCCCTCACAGTACCCCCCATTATGGCCTATTGGTATCCCAGTACCCCACATTACGGTCTATGGGCATCCCAGTGCCTCCCAGTATGGCCTATGGCCATACCAGCACCCCCAATATGGCCTATGGGCATACCAGTATGGTCTATGGGCATCCCAGCACACCCCAGTATGGGCTATGGGCATCCCAGTGCCTCCCAGTATGGCCTATGGCCATACCAGTGCATCCCAGTATGGCCTATGGCCATACCACCACACCCATTATGGCCTATGGGCATACCAGTATGGTCTATGGGCATCCCAGTGCCTCCCAGTATGGCCTATGGCCATACCAGCACCCCCAATATGGCCTATGGGCATACCAGTAGGGTCTATGGGCATCCCAGCACACCCCAGTATGGCTTATGGGCATCCCAGTATGGCCTAGGGACATCCCAGTAGGGTCTATGAGCATCCCAGTACCCCTCATTATGGCCTATAGGCATCCCAGCACCCCCCATTAAGGCCTATGGGCATCCCAGTGCCTCCCAGTATGGCCTATGGGCATCCCAGTATAGTCTATGGGCCTCCCAGTATGGTCTATGGGCATCCCAGTATCCCCCATTATGGTCTATGGGCATCCCAGTGCCTCCCAGTATGGCCTATGGGCATCCCAGCAACCGCCATTATGGCCTATGGGCATCCCAGTATCCCCCATTATGGTCTATGGACATCCCAGTGCCTCCCAGTATGGCCTATGGGCATCCCAGTATGGTCTATGGGCATCCTGGTAGGGTCTATGGGCATCCCAGTGCTTCCCAGTATGGCCTATGGGCATCCCAGTACCCCCCATTAAGGCCTATGGGCATCCCAGGAGCCCCCATTAAGGCCTATGGGCATACCAGTGCCTCCCAGTATGGCCTATGGGCATCCCAGTATAGTCTATGGGCCTCCCAGTATGGCCTATGGGCATCCCAGTATCCCCCATTATGGTCTATGGGCATCCCAGTATCCCCCATTATGGTCTATGGGCATCCCAGTGCTTCCCCGTATGGCCTATGCGCATCCCAGTATGGTCTATGGGCATCCTGGTAGGGTCTATGGGCATCCCAGTGCTTCCCAGTATGGCCTAGAGCCCTCCCAGTGCCCCCCATTACTGCCTATGGGCATCCCAGGAGCCCCCATTAAGGCCTATGGGCATACCAGTGCCTCCCAGTATGGCCTATGGGCATCCCAGTATAGTCTATGGGCCTCCCAGTATGACCTATGGGCATCCCAGTATCCTCCATTATGGTCTATGGACATCCCAGTGCCTCCCAGTATGGCCTATGGGCATCCTGGTAGGGTCTATGGGCATCCCAGTGCTTCCCAGTATGGCCTATGGGCATCCCAGTACCCCCCATTAAGGCCTATGGGCATTCCAGTACCTCCCATTAAGGCCTATGGGCATCCCAGGAGCCCCCATTAAGGCGTATGGGCATCCCAGTGCCTCCCAGTATGGCCTATGGGCATCCCAGTATAGTCTATGGGCTTCCCAGTATGGCCTATGGGCATCCCAGTATCCCCCATTATGGTCTATGGGCCTCCCAGTATGGCCTATGCGCATCCCAGTATGGTCTATGGGCATCCTAGTAGGGCCTATGGGCATCCCAGTGCTTCCCAGTATGGCTTATGGGCATCCCAGCAACCGCCATTATGGCCTATGGGCATCCCAGTATCCCCCATTATGGTCTATGGACATCCCAGTGCCTCCCAGTATGGCCTATGGGCATCCCAGTATGGTCTATGGGCATCCTGGTAGGGTCTATGGGCATCCCAGTGCTTCCCAGTATGGCCTATGGGCATCCCAGTATCCCCCATTATGGTCTATGGGCATCCCAGGAGCCCCCATTAAGGCGTATGGGCATCCCAATGCCTCCCAGTATGGCCTATGAGCATCCCAGTATAGTCTATGGGCCTCCCAGTATGGCCTATGGGCATCCCAGTATCCCCCATTATGGTCTATGGGCATCCCAGTGCCTCCCAGTATGGCCTATGGGCATCCCAGTATGGTCTATGGGCATCCTAGTAGGGCCTATGGGCATCCCAGTGCTCCCAGTATGTCCTAGAGCCCTCCCAGTGCCCCCCATTACTGCCTATGGGCATCCCATTATGGTCTATGGGCATCCCAGTGCCTCCCATTATGGCCCATGGGCCTCCCAGTGCTTCCCATTATGGCCTATGGGGCTCCCAGTGCCTCCCAGTGCCCCCCAGTGCACTCACGCTCCAGGAACTGGTGCAGGGCGCGGACATAGGGGAGCCAGGTGTGGCTCTGGCTCACGTTGAAGGTGACGTCGAGGCCCTCGGCATAGGGCCGGATCATCAGCCCTGCGATGGGGAGGGTGTCAAGGGCACCCATTGGGTGTCAACGGCACCCATTGCGCCCTATGGGTGTCAACGGCGCCCATTGGGTGTCAACGGCGCCCATGGCACACTGTGGGTGTCAACGATGCCCATCGTGCTCTATGGCTGTCAACGTCGCCCATTGCATTCCATGGGTGTCAACAGCGCTCACTGTGCCCTTGGGGTGTCAACGGCACCCATTGGGTGTCAACGGCACCCATGGCACACTGTGGGTGTCAACGGCGCCCATTGCGCACTATGGGTGTCAGCGGCGTCCATTGGGTGTCAGTGGTGCCCACTGCCTTCTATGGGTGTCAACGACGCCCATTGCGCCCTATGGGTGTCAATGGTGCCCACTGCCTTCTATGGGTGTCAACGACGCCCATTGCGCCCTATGGGTGTCAACGGCACCCATCGGGTGTCAACAGCACCCATTGTGCCCTATGGATGTCAACGGTGCCCATTGTGCCCCATGGGTGTCAACGGCGCCCATTGGGTGTCAACGGCGCCCATGGCACACTGTGGGTGTCAACGGCACCCACTGCATTCCATGGGTGTCAACAGCGCTCATCGCGCCCTTGGGGTGTCAACGGTGCCAATTGCCCTCTATGGGCATCGACGGCGCCCACTGGGTGTCAACGGTACCCATTGCCTTCTATGGGTGTCAACGGTGCCCATTGCATCCTATGGGTGTCAACAGCACCCATTGGTTGTCAACATCGCCCATTGCATTCCATGGGTGTCAACAGTGCTCATCGTGCCCTTGGGGTGTCAACGGCGCCCATTGGGTGTCAAAGGTGCCAATTGCCCTCTATGGGTGTCAACGGCACCCATTGCACCCTGTGGGTGTCAATGGCGCCCATTGGGCGTCAACAGTGCCCATTGCCTTCTATGGGGGTCAATGGTGCCCATTGCGCCCTATGGATGTCAATGGGGCCCATTGGGTATCAACGGTGCCCATTGCCTTCTATTGGTGTCAACGGCACCCATTGCGCCCTATGGGTGTCAGCGGCGCCCATTGTGCCCTGTGGGTGTCAACGGTGCTCACTGTGCCCATTGGGTGTCAACGGCACCCGCTGCGCCCATTGGGTGTCAACGGCACCCACTGCGCCCATTGGGTGTCAACGGCGCCCATTGAGCCCTACGGGTGACAAAGTGCCCATTGGGTGTCAACGGTGCCCATTGCCTTTTAGGGTGTCAAGAGTGCCCATTGTGCCCTATGGGTGTCAACGGTGCCCATTGGGTGTCAATGGTGCCCATTGCCTTCTAGGGTGTCAACAGTGCCCATTGCCCTCTATGGGTGTCAATGGCACCCATTGCGCCCTATGGGTGTCAAAGGTGCCCAATGGGTGTCAACAGTACCCATTGCCCTCTATGGGTGTCAATGGCGCCCACTGAGCTCTATGGGTGTCAATGGCACCCATTGCATTCCATGGGCGTCAATGGAACCTATTGAGCCCGGTGGGTGTCAATGGCACCCATTGCATTCCATGGGTGTCAATGGTGCCCATCTCATGCCATAGGCATCAATGGCACCCATTGAGCTCCATGGGAGTTAATGGCACCCATTGAGCTCTATGGGCATCAGCGGTGCCCATCACCCTCCATGGGTGTCAATGGCACCCATTGCCCTCTATGGGTGTCAATGGTGCCCACTGAGTTCTGTGGGCATCAATGGCACCCATTGCCCTCTGTGGGTGTCAACGGTGCCCAGTAAGCTCTATGGGCATCAATGGCACCCATTGCCCTCTATGGGTGTCAACAGTGCCCGTTGAGTTCTATGGGCATCAGTGGCACCCATCGCACTCTACAAGCGTCAATGGCACCCATTGCCCTCTATGGGTGTCAATGGCGCTCATTCAGCTCTATGGGCATCAATGGCACCCATCGTGCTCTACGGGCATCAACGGTACCCATTGCCCTCTATGGGTGTCAACGGCACCCACTGCCCTCTATGGGTGTCAACGGCACCCACTGCCCTCTATGGGTGTCAACGGCACCCATTGTGTTCCATGAGTGTCAACGGCACCCATCGCGCTCTACGGCCATCAATGTCACCCATTGCCCTCTATGGGTGTCAATGGCACCCATTGCGTTCCATGGGTATCAACGGCACCCATTGTGTTCCATGGGTGTCAACGGCACCCATCGCGCTCTACGGCCATCAATGGCACCCATTGCCCTCTATGGGTGTCAACGGTGCCCGTTGTGTTCCATTGCTGTCAACGGCACCCATTGCGTTCCATGGGTGTCAACGGCACCCATCGCGCTCTACGGCCATCAATGGCACTCAACGCACTCTATTGGCGTCAACGGCACCCATTGCGTTCCATGGGTGCCAATGGCACCCATCGCGCTCTACGGCCATCAATGGCACCCATTGCCCTCTATGGGTGTCAACGGCACCCACTGCCCTCTATGGGTGTCAACGGCACCCATTGTGTTCCATGGGTGTCAACGGCACCCATCGCGCTCTACGGCCATCGATGGCACCCATTGCGTTCCATGGGTGTCAATGGCACCCCTTGTGTTCCATTGTTGTCAACGGCACCTATCGCGCTCTACGGCCATCAATGCCACTCAACGCACTCTATTGGCGTCAACGGCACCCATTGGACCCCATTACCCACCCAAGCACCCACTGACAAGGGACCCCAACCCCATTCCAAGCCCCTCCTTGTGCTCACCGGGGGTGAGGAGCCGGTCCTGGTACTTGGGCACGTGGGGATCCACGCTCTGGAGCATCACCCACATGGTGAGGGCGAAGAGCCCGGCCAGGAACCCATAGAACACCAGGTAGAAGAGCAGGATCAGGCCTAAAGGGGGGGCAAAGAAGGGGTTAAAACCCCCCTGATCGCCCCAAGGGCGGCCAAGACGACCCACACAAAGATGCCCCAATGGCACCAAAGAGCCCCAAAACTGCACTAAATCGACCCAAAGATGCCCCAATGGCACCAAATAGCCCCAAAACTGCCCGAAATCGACCCAAAGATGTCCCAAAGAGCCCCGAAACTGCCCGAAATCGACCCAAAGATGCCCCAATGGCACCAAAGAGCCCCAAAACTGCCCGAAATCGACCCAAAGATGCCCCAATGGCACCAAAGATCCCCAAAACTGCCCGAAATCGACCCAAAGATGCCCCAATGGCACCAAAGAGCCCCAAAACTGCCCAAAATCGACCCAAAACTGTCCCAAAGAGCCCCAAAACTGCCCTAAATCAACCCAAAGATGCCCCAATGGCACCAAAGAGGCCCAAAACTGCCCGGAATCGACCCAAAACTGCCCCAATGACACCAGCCACAAAACTGCCCCAAATCGACCCAAAACTGCCCCAATGGCACCAAAGAGCCCCGAAACTGCCCGAAATCGACCCAAAGATGCCCCAATGGCACCAAAGAGCCACAAAACTGCCCTAAATCGACCCAAAGATGTCCCAAAGAGCCCCAAAACTGCCCGAAATCGACCCAAAACTGTTCCAAAGAGCCCCAAAACTGCACTAGATCGACCCAAAGATGCCCCAATGGCACCAAAGAGCCCCAAAACTGCCTTGAATCGACCCAAAACTGTCCCAAAGAGCCCCAAAACTGCCCGAAATCGACCCAAAACGGTTCCAAAGAGCCCCAAAACTGCACTAAATCTCCCAAAACTGCCCGAGTGGCACCAAAGAGCCCTGAAACTGCAATAAATCGACCCAAAGATGTCCCAGTGGCACCAAAGAGCCCCAAAACTGTCCTAAATCGACCCAAAACTGTCCCAAAGAGCCCCAAAACTGCCCGAAATCGACCCAAAGATGCCCCAATGGCACCAAATAGCCCCAAAACTGCCCGAAATCAAACCAAAGATGCCCCAATGGCACCAAAGAGCACCAAAACTGCCCTAAATCGACCCAAAGATGCCCCAATGGCACCAAAGAGCACCAAAACTTCCCTAAATCAACAAAATACTGCCCCAATGGCACCAAAGAGCCCCCAAACTGCCCGAAATCGACCCAAAACTGTTCCAAAGAGCCCCAAAACGGCACTAAATCGACCCAAAACTGCTCTAAATGCATCCCAAACTGCCCCGACATCAAACACCCCCAAAACTGTCCTAAATCGACCCAAAACTGCCCCGATGACATCAAACACGCCCAAAACTGCGCTAAACGACTCCAAAACTGCCCTAAATCGACCCAAAACTGCACCAATGGCATCAAACACCCCCCAACTGCCCTAAATCGACCACAAACTGCCCTAAATCGATGCAAAACTGCTCTAAATTGACCCAAAACTGCCCTGATGACCTCAAACACCCCCAAAATTGCCCTAAATAGACCCAAAACTGCACCAATGATGTAAAACACCCCCAAAAGTGCCCTAAATCGACCCAAAACTGCCCTAAAATGACCCAAAGCTGCCCTGACGGCACCAAATACCACCAAAATAGCCCTAAATCCCCCCGAAACTGCCCTAAATCGACCGCAAACTGCACCAACGGCATCAAACACCCCAAAACTGCCTAAAACTGCCCTAAATCAACCCAAAACTGCACCAACGGCATCAAACACCCCCCAACTGCCCTAAATCGACCCCAAACTGCCCTAAATCGACCCAAAACTGCACCAATGATGTAAAACACCCCCAAAACTGCCCTAAATCGACCCAAAACTGCCCTAAATTGATCCAAAACTGCACCAATGATGTAAAACACCCCCAAAACTGCCCTAAATTGACCCAAAACTGCCTCGATGGTATCAAACACCTCCAAAACTGCCCCAAATCCACCCAAAACTGCCCCGATGACCTCAAACACCCCCAAAACTGCCCCAAATCCACCCAAAACTGCCCCGATGGCATCATACACCCTGCAACTGCCCTAAATCGACCCAAAACTGCCCTAAATCGACCCAAACCAATCTAAATCCCCCCAAAACTGCCCTAAATCGACCCAAAACTGCCCTAAATCGACCCAAACCAACCTAAATCCCCCCAAAACTGCCCTAAATCGAACCAAAACTGCCCTAAATCGACCCCAAACTGCACCAACGGCATCACACCCCAAAACGGCCCTAAATAGACCCCAAACTGCCCTAAATTGACCTAAAACTGCCTCGATGGCATCAAACACCCCCCAAACTGCCCCAAATCCACCCAAAAGTGCCCCGACAGCATCAAACACCCCCCAACTGCCCTAAATCGACCCAAACCTGCCCTAAATCGACCCAAAACTGCACCAATGGCATCAAACACCCCCCAAACTGCCTTAAATGGACCCCAAACGGCCTCGATGACCTCAAACACCCTCAAAACTGCCCCAAATCCACCCAAAACTGCCTCGACGGCATCAAACACCCCCAAAACTGCCCTAAAATGACCCAAAACTGCCCCGATGGCACCAGATACCCCCCAAATAGCCCTAAATCCCCCCCAAACTGCCCTAAACTGACCTCAAACTGCCCTAAATCGACCCAAAGCCGCCCTAAATCGACCCAAAACTGCCTCGATGGCATCAACCCCCCCCCAAATTGCCCTAAATCGACCCAAAACTGCCCTAAATCGACCCAAACTGCCCTAAATCACCCCAAAACAGCCCGACAGCATCAAACACCCCCAAAACTGCCCTAAATCGACCCAAAACTGCCCCAACGGCATCAAACACCCCAAAACTGCCCTAAATCCACCCAAACCACCCTAAATCCACCCAAAACTGCCCTAAATCGACCCAAACTGCCTTAAATCGACCCAAAACTGCCTCGATGGCATCAAACATCCCTAAAACTGCCTTAAATCGACCCAAAACTGCCCTAAATCCACCCAAAACAGCCCGACAGCATCAAACACCCCCAAAATCGCCCTAAAATGACCCAAAACTGCACCAACGGCATCAAACACCCCCAAAACTGCCTTAAATCGACCCCAAACCACCCTAAATCGACCCAAAACTGCCCTAAATCGACCCAAACTGCCCTAAATCGACCCAAAACAGCCCGACAGCATCAAACACCCCAAAACTGCCTTAAATCGACCCCAAACCACCCTAAATCGACCCAAACTGCCCTAAATCGTCCCAAACTGCCCTAAATCGACCCAAAACTACCCGACAGAATCAAACACCCCAAAACTGCCTTAAATCGACCCAAAACTGCCCTAAATCCACCCAAAACAGCCCGACAGCATCAAACACCCCCAAAATCAGCCTAAATCGACCCAAAACTGCCCTAAATCGACCCAAAACTGCCCCAACGGCATCAAACACCCCCCAAACTGCCCCAAATCCACCCAAAACTGCCCCGATGACCTCAAACACCACCAAAACTGCCCCAAATCCACCCAAAACTGCCCCGACGGCATCAAACACCCCAAAACCACCCTAAATCGACCCCAAACCACCCTAAATCGACCCCAAACCACCCTAAATCGACCCCAAACTGCCCTAAATTGACCCAAAACAGCCCGACAGCATCAAACACCCCAAAACCACCCTAAATCGACCCCAAACCACGCTAAATCGACCCCAAACTGCCCTAAATCGACCCAAAACTGCCTCGATGGCATCAAACACCCCCAAAACTGCCTTAAATCGACCCAAAACTGACCCAAATCCACCCAAAACAGCCCGACAGCATCAAATACCCCCAAAACTGCCCCAAATCCACCCAAACCACCCTAAATCGACCCCAAACTGCCCCAAATCGACCCAAAACAGCCCGACAGCATCAAACACCCCAAAACTGCCTTAAATCGACCCCAAACTGCCCTAAATCGACCCAAAACAGCCCGACAGCATTAAACACCCCCAAAACTGCCCCAAATCCACCCAAACCACCCTAAATCGACCCCAAACTCCCCCAAATCGACCCAAAACAGCCCGACAGCATCAAACACCCCAAAACCGCCCTAAATCGACCCCAAACCACCCTAAATCGACCCAAAACTGCCCCAAATCCACCCAAAACTGCCCGACAGCATCAAACACCCCAAAACCGCCCTAAATCGACCCCAAACCACCCTAAATCGACCCCAAACTGCCCCAAATCCACCCAAAACCGCCCGACAGCATCAAACACCCCAAAACCGCCCTAATTCGACCCCAAAACTGCCTTAAATCGACCCCAAACTGCCCTAAATCGACCCAAAACAGCCCGACAGCATCAAACACCCCCAAAACTGCCCCAAATCCACCCAAACCACCCTAAATCGACCCCAAACTGCCCCAAATCCACCCAAAACTGCCCGACAGCATCAAACACCCCAAAACCACCCTAAATCGACCCCAAACCGCCCTAAATCGACCCAAACCACCCTAAATCAACCCAAAACTGCCTCGATGGCATCAAACACCCCAAAACCACCCTAAATCGACCCAAAACTGCCCCAAATCCACCCAAAACAGCCCGACGGCATCAAACACCCCAAAACCACCCTAAATCGACCCAAAACTGCCCCAAATCCACCCAAAACAGCCCGACAGCATTAAACACCCCCAAAACTGCCCCAAATCCACCCAAACCACCCTAAATCGACCCCAAACTGCCCCAAATCCACCCAAAACTGCCCGACAGCATCAAACACATCAAAACCGCCCTAAATCGACCCCAAACCACCCTAAATCGACCCAAAACTGCCCCAAATCCACCCAAACTGCCCTAAATCGTCCCAAACTGCCCTAAATCGACCCAAAACTACCCGACAGAATCAAACACCCCAAAACTGCCTTAAATTGACCCAAAGCTGCCCTAAATCGACCCAAAACAGCCCGACAGCATCAAACAACCCCCAACTGCCCTAAATCGACCCAAAACTGCCCTAAATCGACCCAAAACTGCCCCAACGGCATCAAACACCCCCAAAACTGCCCCAAATCCACCCAAAACTGCCCGACAGCATCAAACATCCCAAAACCACCCTAAATCGACCCCAAACCAGCCTAAATCGACCCAAAACTGCCCCAAATCCACCCAAAACAGCCCGACAGCATCAAACACCCCCAAAACTGCCCTAAATCCACCCAAACCACCCTAAATCGACCCAAAACTGCCCCAAATCCACCCAAAACAGCCCGACAGCATCAAACACCCCAAAACCACCCTAAATCGACCCCAAACCACCCTAAATCGACCCAAACCACCCTAAATCAACCCAAAACTGCCTCGATGGCATCAAACACCCCAAAACCACCCTAAATCGACCCAAAACTGCCCCAAATCCACCCAAAACAGCCCGACAGCATCAAACACCCCAAAACCGCCCTAAATCGACCCCAAACCACCCTAAATCGACCCAAAACTGCCCTAAATCGACCCAAAACTGCCTCGATGGCATCAAACACCCCAAAACCACCCTAAATCGACCCAAAACTGCCCCAAATCCACCCAAAACAGCCCGACAGCATCAAACACCCCCAAAACTGCCCTAAATCCACCCAAACCACCCTAAATCGACCCAAAACTGCCCCAAATCCACCCAAAACAGCCCGACAGCATCAAACACCCCAAAACCACCCTAAATCGACCCCAAACTGCACTAAATCGACCCAAACCACCCTAAATCAACCCAAAACTGCCTCGATGGCATCAAACACCCCAAAACCACCCTAAATCGACCCAAAACTGCCCCAAATCCACCCAAAACAGCCTCGATGGCATCAAACACCCCCAAAACTGCCCTAAATTCACCCAAAACTGCCCCGACAGCATCAAACACCCCAAAACCACCCTAAATCGACCCCAAACCACCCTAAATCCACCCAAACCACCCTAAATCGACCCAAAACTGCCTCGATGGCATCAAACACCCCAAAACCACCCTAAATCGACCCAAAACTGCCCCAAATCCACCCAAAACAGCCCGACAGCATTAAACACCCCCAAAACGGCCCCAAATCCACCCAAACCACCCTAAATCGACCCCAAACTGCCCTAAATCGACCCAAAACTGCCCGACAGCATCAAACACCCCAAAACCACCCTAAATCGACCCCAAACCACCCTAAATCGACCCCAAACCACCCTAAATCGACCCAAAGCCGCCCCAATGACATCCCTCCCCACCGCCCCCCTTCCCCCCGCCCCATAACCCCTTTAAACCCCCCCAAATCCCTGCCCAGACATTTAAATCCCGGTCCGAACCATCTGTCCCTTGGGGGGGGGGGGCCCACAAGAACCAATGGGGGGGTCCCATCTGGTCCTACCCCCCCCTCCCCCATAGGGGGGGGTCCCCCCATTGGTCCCATCCCCCACCCTGGCCATGACCTACTTTCATAGGCACGAGGCAACAGATGGGGGGAGGGGGATGGGAAGGGGGGGGGAGGGGGCACCCATTTCCTTCCCCCCCCCCCCCCATTTTCCCCATTGCACCCATTGGGCCCCCCCCCCCCCCTTCCCATTAAGGGCTATGGGGGGAGGGCTATGGGGCACCCCCAAATGGGGGGGGGGGCTTTAGGTACCCCATTCCTATTGCATCTATGGGGGGGGGGGGGGGCTGTATCCCCCCCACATTTGGGTGCCCAGCATTAAAATGGGGCCCCCCCCCTCATTGTAACCCATTGAGGGGGGTCCCTCTGTAACCCCCCCTATAGGGGGGGTCTTTATACAGCTCCTATAGGGGGGCCCCTATAGACCCCCCCCCCCTTTGCATCTATATGGAGGGGGGCCCCCCCCAACTGCCCTATACATTAAAGGGGGGGGTCCCTATGCAACGCTGCACCCATAGAGGGGGGGCTGCACCCCATAACGGGGGGGGAACCCCCCCTATATTGATGGTTATGGGGGGGAAACCCCTATAAAGTGGGGGGGGGACACCCCCATAGTGTGGGTTATTGGGGTGCCCCCCCCCCCAATGTCCCCCTATAGGAAGACCTCTCTTTATGCACCCTATATAAGAAAGAACGAGCCCTATAGACACCTCCCAATGGGGGGGTCGCCCCATAAGTGTGGGGCAGCACCCCCCCCCCCCAAAACTTACCCCAACTGCTCCCAGTCCTGCCGAGGAGCTGCCGGGTGCGGGGGTCCCATACGAACGCTTTCCATTGAGCCCATACCTGCCCGCAGCTCCGCTTGTCCTTCTCGCGAGCCATATCGCGATAGGGGCGCGATGTCGCGACACGATATCGCGACACAAACCCCCCCCCCCCTTTTAATCCCCTTTACGATCCGAAGCGGGATTCGAACCCGCCACTCGGCTCCAGTGAGGCTGCGCGGGGTTATATAGGCTCGGAGCCACGCCCACCTCGGCGAAGCCACGCCTCTTTATGCTAATAGAGAAGGGGGGAGCCCGCCTTATATGGTGTGGGAAGGGGAGGGGCGTTGAGGGGGTTAAAGGCAGGGGGGGGGACGTCTTAAAGGGGCCGCGCAGGGGGATAATGGGAGTGAATGGGGGGGGGGGATGGAGGGGGTGGAGCCAAAGAAGGGGCGTGGTTTCGGGGGGGGGGGGGGAGCATTCATTGGGGCGGAGCTTTCGCATTAACACACCCCCACACACCCCATTGATTGTCCCTCATTGACCCATAGAGGGGGGGCATCAATGGGTCCGGACCCTCCCATTGACCACTATTAACCCCCATTGCCCCCCCATTGCCCCCCATTGCCCCCCATTGATCCCCCATTGACCCCCCCATTGTTCCCCTATTAACCCCCATTGCCCCCCCTTGCCCCCCATTGCCCCCCCCTTGACCCCCCATTGCCCCCCATTGCCCCCATTAACCCCCATTGACCCCTATTAACCCCCATTGCCCCCCATTGTCCCCCATTAACCCCCATTAACCCCCCATTGCCCCCCATTGACCCCCCATTGCCCCCCATTGATCCCCCATTGCCCCCTATTAACCCCCATTGCTCCCCATTGCCCCCCGTTAACCCCCCCATTGCCCTCCATTGAACTCCCCATTGACCCCCATTAACCCCCCCATTGCCCCCCTATTAAGCCCCCATTGCCCCCCATTACCCCCATTGCCCCCCCCATTGCCCCCCATTGATCCCCCATTGCCCCCTATTAACCCCCATTGCTCCCCATTGCCCCCCGTTAACCCCCCCATTGCCCTCCATTGAACTCCCCATTGACCCCCATTAACCCCCGCATTGCCCCCCATTGACCCCTATTAACCCCCATTGACCCCCCCATTGACCCCCCATTGCCCCCTCTTTAACCCCCATTGCCCCCCATTGAACTTTCCATTGACCCCCCTTGCCCCCTATTAACCCCCACTGCCCCCCATTGTCCCCCCATTAAGCCCCCATTGCCCATTGCCCCCATTAACCCCCTTTAACCCCCCCATTGACCCCCCCATTCCCCCATATTAACCCCCATTGCCCCCCCATTGCCCTCCATTGAACTCCCCATTGACCCCCATTAATCCCCCCATTGCCCCCCTATTAAGCCCCCATTGCCACTCATTGCCCCCTATTAACCCCCATTGCCCCCCTATTAACCCCCATTCCCCCCATTGACCCCCCATTAACCCCCATTGACCCCCCCATTGCCCCCCTATTAACCCCCATTGCCCCCCATTAACCCCCCATCGACCCCCCCCATTGCCCCCCCCCCCATTGCCCCCCATTGCCCCATAGAGGGGGGTTGGCCCCCATTGGTTCCCCGTTACCAAGGAGACGGGAGCGCGCATGCGGGAACGCGGGGGGGGGGGGGGGGGGGGGTTGGGGCTTGATCCAGTTTGGAACTGGGACAACTGGGATCCATGGGGGGAGCCCCATTATGGGGGGGGGGGGGGCAATGGGGGTCCCATTATTGGGGGTGCTCTGGGGGGGTCAATTGGGGGGTCCAATTATGGGGGGGGCAATGGGGGTCCCATTATTGGGGGTGCTATGGGGCGGCCAATGGGGGGGGTCCCATTTTGGGGGGCAATGGGGGGGTCCCATTATGGGGGTGCTATGGGGCGGCCAATGGGGGTCCCATTATGGGGGGGGGGAAATGGGGGTCCCATTATGGGTGTGCTATGGGGGGGGCAATGGGGGGACCCATTATGGGGAGGGGGCAATGGGGGTCCCATTATGGGGGTGCTATGGGGCAGCCAATGGGGGTCCCATTATGGGGGTGCTATGGGGGGGTGCTATGGGGGGGGTCCCATTATGGGGGGGGCAATGGGGGTCCCATTATTGGGGGTGCTATGGGGGGCAATGGGGGGACCCATTATGGGGGGGGCAATGGGGGTCCCATTATTGGGGGTGCTATGGGGGGGCAATGGGGGGACCCATTATGGGGGGGGGGGCAATGGGGGTCCCATTATGGGTGTGCTATGGGGGGGGCAATGGGGGGGTCCCATTATGGGGGGGGCAATGGGGGTCCCATTACGGGGGGGGGGGGGAAATGGGGGTCCCATTATTGGGGGTGCTATGGGGGGGTGCTATGGGGGGGGTCCCATTATGGGGGGGGCAATGGGGGTCCCATTATGGGGGTGCTATGGGGCGGCCAATGGGGGTCCCATTATGGGGGTGCTATGGGGCGGCCAATGGGGGGGTCCCATTATGGGGGTGCTATGGGGGGTCCCATTATGGGGGGGGCAATGGGGGTCCCATTATGGGGGTGCTATGGGGCGGCCAATGGGGGGTCCCATTATGGGGGGCTCCAATGGGGGGGGCGGTCTATTTATGATCCCATTATGGGAGTGCTATGGGGGGGGGTCCAATGGGGGGTCCCATTATGGGGGGGGCAATGGGGGTCCCATTATTGGGGATGCTATGGGGCGGCCAATGGGGGGTCCCATTATGGGGGGGGGCAATGGGGGTCCCATTATGGGGGTGCTATGGGGCGGCCAATGGGGGTCCCATTATGGGGGTTCCATTGGGGGGTCCCATTATGGGGGGGGCAATGGGGGTCCCATTATTGGGGGTGCTATGGGGGGGTGCTATGGGGGGGTGCTATGGGGGGTCCCATTATGGGGGGGCAATGGGGGGGCGGTCCATTTATGATCCCCTTAAGGGGGTGCTATGGGGGGGTCAATTGGGGGGGTCCAATTATGGGGGGGGCAATGGGGGTCCCATTATGGGGGTGCTATGGGGCGGCCAATGGGTGGACCCATTATGGGGGGTGGGCAATGGGGGTCCCATTATTGGGGGTGCTATGGGGCGGCCAATGGGGGGGGTCCCATTATGGGGGGCAATGGGGGGGTCCCATTATGGGGGTGCTATGGGGCGGCCAATGGGGGGGGTCCCATTATGGGGGGGGGGCAATGGGGGTCCCATTATGGGGGTGCTATGGGGGGGTGCTATGGGGGGGGTCCATTATGGGGGGGGGGCAATGGGGGTCCCATTATTGGGGGTGCTATGGGGCGGCCAATGGGGGGACCCATTATGGGGGGGGGCAATGGGGGTCCCATTATGGGGGGTGCTATGGGTGGGGTCCATTGGGGGGGGTCCATTTTGGGGGGCAATGCGGGGGTCCTATTATGGGGGTGCTATGGGGGGGAATGGGGGTTCCCATTGGGGGGGTCCTATGGAAAGAGTCCTATTGGGGGGATGCTATAGGTGTGGGGGGGGATCCTATAGAAGTGGGGTCCCATTGGGGGGACTCCTATGGGGTGGGGGGACCTGAAGTGGGGGGATCCAATGGGGGGGGGTGGTATGGGAGGGGGGGATCCCATAGGGGATATGGGGGGGGTCCCATAGGGATTGGTCATAGGAGGGGTCCTATGGGGGGGGTCCCATAGGGATGGGTCATAGGAGGGGTCCTATGGGGGGGGGGTCCCATAGGGGAAATGGGGGGGTCCCATAGGGATGGGTCATAGGAGGGGTACTATGGGGGGGGTCCTGGGGGGGGGGGTCCCATAGGGATGGGTCATAGGAGGGGTCCTATGGGGGGGTCCCATAGGGATGGGTCATAGGAGGGGTCCTATGGGGGGGGTTCCCATAGGGATGGGTCATAGGAGGGGTCCTATAGGGGGGTCCTACAGGGCGGGTCCCATAGGGATGGGTCACAGGAGGGGTCCTATAGGGGGGTCCTATAGGGCGGGTCCCATAGGGATGGGTCATAGGAGGGGTCCTATAGGGGGGTCCTATAGGGCGGGTCCCATAGGGAACAGGGATGTTCCATTGAGGTCAATGGAGGGGGGGGGGAAGCGGCTTAGGCTGAGCCGCTGCTAATTATAGCGCGGGCCCTTTAAGAGCCTTTGGGGGGGGGGTGTTAATCCATGGGGGGGGAGGGGAGGGGATGCACTGTCACATCCCATAATAGTGCCCTGCGGTCCCGGTGTGGGGCACGAGGGGGCGGCCATGGCACTGCAATGGGGGGGATGAGGGCTATGGGGGCAGCCATGACACCCCCATGACACCCATTGACCCCATTGACACCCATTGACCCCACTGACACCCATTGACCCCATTAACACCCGTTGACCCCATTGAAACCCATTGACCCCATTAACACCCATTGACCCCATTGACACCCATTGACCCCCATTGCCACCCATTGACCCCATTGACACCCACCGACATCCATTGACCCCCATTGACCCCCATTGACACCCATTGACCCCATTGACCCCCATTGACCCCATTACCACCCACTGACACCCATTGACCCCACTGGCACCCACGGACATCCATTATCCCCCATTGACCCCCATTGACCCCATTAACACCCGTTGACCCCACTGACACCCATTGACACCCATTGACCCTGGTTGACACCCGTTGACCCCCATTGACCCCACTGACCCCATTGACCCTGGTTGACACCTGCTGACCCCATTGAGCCCATTGATCCCCATTGATCCCCATTGCCACCCATTGACCCCATTGCCACCCATTGACCCTATTGACCCCCATTGATCCCCTCTGACACCCATTGACACCCATTGACCCCACTGGCACCCACTGACATCCATTGACCCCCATTGACCCCCATTGACCCCCATTGACCCCATTAACACCCGTTGACCCCATTGACACCCACTGACACCCGTTGACCCCCATTGACACCCATTGACCCCATTGATCCCACCCCTTGACCCTATTGACCCCCATTGATCCCCACTGACACCCATTGACCCCACTGGCACCCACTGACATCCATTGACACCCATTGACACCCATTGACCCCATTGACCCCATTGACCCCCATTGACCCCATTAGCACCCATTGACCCTATTGACCCCCATTGACCCCATTGCCACCCATTGACCCCATTGATACCCATTGACATCCACTGACCCCCATTGACCCCATTGACACCCATTGACCCCATTAGCACCCATTGACCCCATTAGCACCCATTGACCCTATTGACCCCCATTGATCCCCACTGACACCCATTGACACCCATTGACACCCATTGCCACCCATTGACCCCATTGACCCCATTGCCACCCATTGACCCCATTGACACCCATTGACCCCATTGACACCCATTGACCCCATTAGCACCCATTGACCCTATTGACCCCCATTGATCCCCACTGACACCCATTGACATCCATTGACCCCACTGGCACCCATTGCCCCCCATTGCCCCCCATTGACCCCATTGCCACCCATTGCCACCCATTGCCACCCGTTGACCCCATTGACACCCATTGACACCCATTGACCCCATTGACCCCATTGACACCCATTGACCCCATTAGCACCCATTGACCCTATTGACCCCCATTGATCCCCATTGCCACCCATTGCCACCCATTGACCCCATTGCCACCCATTGACATCCACTGACCCCCATTGACACCCAGTGACCCCCACTGACCCCATTGCCCCCCATTGCCCCCCATTGACCCCATTGACATCCATTGCCACCCATTGACACCCATTGACCCCATTGCCACCCGTTGACCCCATTGACACCCATTGACCCCCATTGACCCTATTGACCCCCATTGATCCCCATTGCCACCCATTGACCCCATTGACACCCATTGACATCCGCTGACCCCCATTGACACCCATTGACATCCACTGACCCCCATTGCCCCCCATTGACCCCACAACCCCACATCCCCCCCCTTGCTCTCCTCCAGGCCTACTCCCAGCCCCCTTCATGCCAGCCCTGTGGGTCATGGGGGCCTTGCCCTCGATGTGGGGGGTGACAGCAGGAGCTCAACATCTGGAGCACCCCCCAGCTCCCTGCCCCCCAACCTGGACCCCAGCACCGCCCCCCGTGGGGTGTGGGGGGGAATTCGGCCACGTGTGGGTTGCTGTGAAGGGGTAAAAAGGGGGTGGGGGGGAAACCCTATAGGGGAATGGGGGGAGGTCAATGTGGGGCTCCCCATCCCCTCCCCATAGGGTAATGGGGGTGTCCAAAGAGGGGATCCCCCACCCATTGTATGGGGATCCCCCCCTCATGGAGTAATGGGGGAGCCCAAAGTGGGGATCCCCCCTATAGGGTAATGGGGGAGCCCCAAAGTGGGTTATGGGATATGGGGTATGGGATATGGGATATGGGGTATGGGGTTATTATGGGATATGGGGTTATTATGGGCTATGGGTATGGGGTATGGGGCATGGGATGTGGGGTATGGGGTTATTATGGGATATGGGGTTATTATGGGATATGGGTATGGGGTATGGGGTATGGGGCATGGGATATGGGGTATGGGGTATGGGATGTGGAGTATGGGGTATGGGGTGTGGGGTATGGGATAAGGGGCATGGGATATGGGGTATGGGGTACGGGGTGTGGGATATGGGTTGTGGGGTGTGGGGTATGGGATATGGGATTTGAGGCATGGGATATGGGGTATGGGGTATGGGATATGGGGTATGGGATACAAGATATGGGATATGGGGCATGGGATATGGGGTATGGGGTATGGGGTATTGGGTGTGAGGTATGGGATATGGGGTGTTGGGGTTATTATGGGATATGGGGCATGGGGTTATTATGGGATATGGGATACGGGGACATTGGGGGTGTCATTGGGTCCCTGTGCCCCCCCCCATCCCCTCCTTCCCCGTCCCCATGGCGCCCCCTGGTGCTGCCCTTCAGCTCAGTCCCTATGGGGCCGTGGGTTCGGATCCCGGCGCTGCCAATGTGGGGTCATCATTGGGGGGGGGGTGTGTCGGGGTGGTTTGGGTGTTGTCGGGGTGCGGTTTTGGTGTTGTTCAGGTGTTGGTGGGGTGTTTTTTGGGGGGGTTTTCGGGGTGTGCTTTTGGGGTGGTTTGGGTGGTGTTGGGATACAGTTTTTGGGTGATTTGGGTGTTCTCAGGGTGTGGTTTTGGGTGTTTTGGGTGTTTTCGGGGTGTGCTTTTGGGGTGGTTTGGGTGTTGTCAGGGTGTGGTTTTGGGGTGGTTGGAGTTTTGTTGGGGTGGTTTGGGTGTTGTTGGGATATAGTTTTGGGGTTGTTCAGATGTTGGGGTGTGTTTTTGGGGTGGTTTGGGTGTTGTCGGGGTGTGCTTTTGGGGTGGTTTGGGTGTTTTTGGGGAGGTTTTTTTTTTGTGGTTTGGGTGTGTTTATGGGGTGTGTCGGGTGTTGTCGGGGTGTGGTTTTGGGGTGGTTTTGGTATTGTTGGGGTGTGGGTTTTTTGGGGTGGTTTGGGTGTTGTCCGGATGTGGTTTGGGTTTTGTCAGGGTGTATTTTCGGGGTGGTTTGGGTGTTGTCAGGGTGTAGTTTGGGGGTGGTTTAGGTGTTGTTGGGATAGAGTTTTTGGGTGGTTTTGGTGTTGTTGGGGTGTGCTTTTGGGGTGGTTTGGGTGCTGCTGGGGAGGTTCTTTTGGGGTGGTTTGGATGTGTTTCTGGGGTGTGTTGGGTGTTGTCGGGGTGTGGTTTTGGGGTGGTCTGGGTGTTGGGGTGTTTTTCTGGGGTGCTTTGGGTGTTGTCGTGGTGCGGTTTTGGGGTGGTTTGGGTGGTGTTGGGGTGTGCTTTTGGGGTGGTTTGGGTTTTGTCAGGGTGTATTTTCGAGGTGGTTTGGGTGTTGTCGGGGTGTAGTTTTGGGGTGGTTTAGGTGTTGTTGGGATAGAGTTTTTGGGTGGTTTGGGTTTTCTCAGGGTGTGGTTTTGGCGTTGTCGGGGTGTGCTTTTGGTGTGGTTTGGGTGTTGTCGGGGTGTGGTTTTGGGGTGATGTGGGTGTTGTCGGGGTGTGGTTTTGGTGTGGTTTGGGTGTTGTCGGGGTGTGGTTTTGGGGTGGTTTAGGTGTTGTTGGGATACAGTTTTTGGGTGATTTGGGTGTTCTCAGGGTGTGGTTTGGGTGTTGTGGGGGAGTGTTTTTTGGGGGTGGTTTTGGTGGTGTTCAGGTGTTTTTGGGGTGTTTTGGGTGTCCTCAGGGTGTGGTTTTGGGGTGGTTTGAGTGTTGTCGGGGTGTAGTTTTGGGGTGGTTTGGGTGTGGTTGGGGGGGTCCCCCCTTTTTCCCCCTCCCCCCCCTTTCCCAACCCCCTACAAACGGAGCCGCGGCTCAAAATCACTAAAACCTTTATTTCCAGCCCAAAACGTCCCATTCCCCCCCTCCCCCCTCATTGAACCGCCTATATAAAGGCGGGGGAGGGGCCAAGCACCCCCACCCCCCGCATTGAACCCCCCAATTACCCCCCTTGTGTTGTATGCCCCCCATTACCTAACACCCCCCATAACTTACCCCCATTTGGAGGCATCCAACACCCCAACATGGGGACCCTTTCCTTGGACCCTCCCCTAGCCCAATATGGGGGTCACCCCCCAACTTTGGGGTCACCCCAACACCCCCCCCATTGAAGCTTCCCTACGACCCAAAGTGTCCCCCACCCCACCGTCCCCCACCCCCATGTCAACCGCCCGGCTTGGGCTGGTGACAGCAACTTATGGGTCAGCCCCATAGCCTGGAGGGGGTCCCCCCACCCAGGCTCAGTTGTCCTCGTCGCTGTCGTCGGGGCTGATGGCCGGGCTGGTGAGGCTGTAGGTGGGGGAAGTGGGGCTGTACCCGGGGGACGTGGGGCTGTAGGTGGAGCCCTTGGGGCTGGTGGGGCTGTAGGTGGGGGATGTGGGGCTGTACTTGGGGCTGGTGGGGCTGTAGGTGGGGCTGGTGGGGCTGTACTTGGGGCTGGTCGGGGTGTAGACGGGGCTGGTGGGGCTGTAGGTGGGGGACGTGGGGCTGTACTTGGGGGTGGTGGGGCTGTAGGTGGGCGAGGTGGGGCTGTACTTGGGGCTGGTGGGGCTGTACTTGGGGCTGGTGGGGCTGTACTTGGGGCTGGTCGGGGTGTACTCGGGGGAGCTGGGGCTGTAGCTGGGGCTGGTCGGGGTGTACTTGGGGGAGGTGGGGCTGTAGCTGGGGCTGCTGGGGCTGTAGCTGGGGCTGCTGGGGGTGTAGGTGGGAGACTGCGGGGTGTAGCGGGGGCTGGAGGGGCTGTAGCTGGGCGAGGTGGGGCTGTAGCTGGGGGAGGTGGGGCTGTAGCTTGGAGAGGTGGGGCTGTAGTTGGGCGAGGTCGGGGTGTAGTTGGGGCTGGTGGGGCTGTAGCTGGGCGAGGTGGGGCTGTAGCTGGGAGAGGTCGGGGTGTAGTTGGGGCTGGTGGGGCTGTAGTTGGGGCTGGTGGGGCTGTAGCTGGGCGACGTCGGGCTGTAGCTCGGTGACGTGGGGCTGTAGCTGGGCGACGTCGGGCTGTAGCTGGGCGAAGTGGGGCTGTAACTGGGCGACGTCGGGCTGTAGCTGGGCGACGTCGGGCTGTAGCTCGGTGACGTGGGGCTGTAGCTTGGCGAAGTGGGGCTGTAACTGGGCGACGTCGGGCTGTAGCTGGGCGACGTCGGGCTGTAGCTGGGCGACGTCGGGCTGTAGCTGGGCGAAGTGGGGCTGTAACTGGGCGAGGTCGGGCTGTAGCTGGGCGACGTGGGGCTGTAGCTGGGCGACGTGGGGCTGTAGTTGGGCGACGTCGGGCTGTAGCTGGGCGAGGTGGGGCTGTAGCTGGGTGAAGTGGGGCTGTAGCTGGGGCTCTGTGGGGTGTAGCCCCCGGGTGAACGCGGCTCGTAGGCGGGGGACGTGGGGCTGTAGCTGGGTGACATGGCACCGCCTGTAGAGAGAGGACAGAGGGGTTAATGGGGGGCCCAACACCGGTGCTGTGGGGGCTGCTTTACAGTGGTTTCGGAGCGGTTCGGGTGTTGCCAGGGGGTTGTCGGGTGTTGCGGGTGTCTTTGGGGTGGTTGTGGGAGCTTTCTGGGGGGACCGTTGCAGCGCTTTGGGGTGTCGTCGGGTGTTGGAGGTGTCTTGGGGGGGGGTTTACACTGTTTCGGGGTGTTGAGAGGTGGTTTTGGGGTCTGTCCGGGTGTTGCCGTAGCGGTGTTGGGGTGTTGTAAGGTTGTGTTTGGGGTGTTGCAGCAGTGTTTTGGGGGTGGTTATGAGGGTTGTCGGGGGGTGGCTTTGGGGTGGTTTTGGGGTGGTTTGGGTGTTGCTGGGGTGTGGTTTGGGGTGTTGTGGGGGTGTTGTTGGGGTTTGGTTTTGGGGTGGTCTGGGTGTTGTCAGGGTGTGCTCTTGGGGTGGTTTGGGTGTAGCTTTGTGGTTCTTTGGTTGGTGTTGGGGTGTGGTCTTGGGGTGGTTTGGGTGTAAATTTGGGGTGGTTTGGTTGATATTGGGGTGTGGTTTTGGGTGTTGTCAGGGTGCGGTTTGGGATGTGGTTCTGTGGTTGTTTGGGTGTTGTTGGAGTGTGCTCTTGGGGTGGTTTGGGTGCTGCTGGGGTGTGGTTTTGGGGTGGTCTGGGTGTTGTCAGGGTGTTTTTTTTTGTGGTTTGGGTGTAATTTGGGGGGGTGTGTTTGCTTGTTGGGGTGTGGTTTCGGGATGGTTTGGGTGTAACTTTGGGCTTGTTTGGTTGTTGTTGGGGTGTGGTTTGGGTGTAATTTTGGGGATGTTGGGTGGTTGTTGGGGTTGTGGTTTTGGGGTGTTCTGGGTGGTGTTGGGGTTGTTTTGGGTGTTGTCAGGGTGTAGTTTTGGTGTGTTCTGGGTGTTGTGGGGGTGTGGTTCTGGGTGTGGTTTGGGTGTTGTCGGGGTGGTTTTGTGGTGCTTTGGGTGCCCTTGGGCTGTTGTCACGGTGTTGCTGTGGGGCTGCACTCACCAGGGGAGGGGATGTAGGGGCTGGAGGGCCCGGGGGAGCCGGGGGAGCCGGGGGTCGGGGACCAGGCCGGGGAGTAACCGGGGCTGAAGCCGCTGGCGTCCGAGGCGGCGCTGGGGGAGAAGCCAGCGCCTCCGGGGGTCATCCCACTGCCTGTAGGGGGGGGGGGGGCAAAAACAGGGGGTCAGGAACCACAACTGCCCCCCCCCCCCCCATAGCCCCAAGGGCCCCAAACTGCCCCATGGGCCCCAAATCTGCCTCACTCACCCCCACTCTACCCCCTCAGTCTGCCCCATAGCACCGCGATCCCCCCCAACCACCCCACTGACCCCCATTCTACCCCAATTACCCCCTCAGTCTCCCCCATAGCACCGCAATCCTCTCCAAGCCACCCCATTGCACCCCAAAGCACCGCAATCCCCCCCAAACACCCCATTGACCCCCACTCTAACCCCCAGTCTGCCCCATAGCACCCCAATCCCCACCCCAACCACCCCACTGACCCCCATTCTACCCCAATTACCTCCTCAGTCTCCCCCATAGCACCGCAATCCTCTCCAAGCCACCCCATAGCACCCCAATTCCCCCCAAACACCCCACTGACCCCCACTCTAACCCCCAGTCTGCCCCATAGCACCCCAATCCCCACCCCACTGACCCCCACTCTACCCCAATTTACCCCCCAGTCTGCCCCATAGCACCACAATCCTCCCCCAGCCACCCCATTGCCCCCATAGCACCCCAATCCCCACCCCAACCACCCCACTGACCCCACTCTACCCCAATTTACGCCCCCAGTCTGCCCCATAGCACCACAATCCTCCCCCAGCCACCCCATTGCCCCCCACTCTACCCCAATTTACCCCCCCAGTCTGCCCCACAGCACCCCAATCACCCCACTGACCCCCACTCTACCCCAATTTACCCCCCCAGTCTGCCCCAAAGCACCCCAATCCCCCCCCAACCACCCCACTGACCCCCACTCTACCCCAATTTACCCCCTCAGTCTGCCCCACAGCACCCCAATCCCCCCCCAACCACCCCACTGACCCCCACTCTACCCCAATTTACCCCCTCAGTCTGCCCCATAGCACCCCATTCCCCCCCCAACCACCCCACTGACCCCCACTCTACCCCAATTTACCCCCTCAGTCTGCCCCACAGCACCCCAATCCCCCCCAACCACCCCACTGACCCCCACTCTACCCCAATTTACCCCCCCAGTCTGCCCCATAGCACCCCAACCACCCCACTGACCCCCACTCTACCCCAATTTACCCCCCCAGTCTGCCCCATAGCACCCCATTCCCCCCCCCAACCATCCCATTGTACCCCAGTTTACCCCCCAGCCCCCTCCCAGTGCAT